CAAGGTCAATCACCACGGTGGACAGGTACACAAGATGGGCGATAGTATGCCTTATTACTGAGACATCAACAGAGACAGTAGCAGCCACATTCCTTGACCGACGGCTATCGAATTACGGAGTACCTTCAATCGTCATTACAGACCGTGGTCCCCAGTTCTGATCTATTTTATTTCGGGAATTTACAAAACTTCTGTGTGTGAACCATATTAAAACGACAGTCTATCATCCAGTAGCTAGTGGTCTGGTCGATTTCTTAGACAACTACTACAAACAATGCAATGTATCAAAGCAATAGCGCTGCGAGAACATAACTTGACAAAAGCCTAGAAATGTGTAAATTTGTTTTCGAGTCTACGCTGGTAAAAAGCCATTGAAACAACCTTACGACGGACCATATCAAGCAATTAAAAGAACAAATAAGCACTTCATAATCAACAGGCGCGGAACGAAGGATATTATCGCTATTGATTGAATAAAGCCAGCTTTCTATGAAGTGCAACAAGACAAAGAAGATAACACTACAGATAATCAACCCCTCCGACTAATCACTACGACAGCAGAGGAGGGTGAAAAACCGAGCATCAAGCCTACTTGCTTAACACGTTCGGGCAGAACTATAAAAGAACCAAGCGTTACGTGCATTTTTCCGGATAAAAAAATCAAAACAAAAATTGGTATATATAACACTGTTAAATTAACTGAATTTTCCAATAAAATTTGTGATTTTTTTCCTTCCACACGTGTAAATAATTAATCACATTTTTTCAGGATTACTCGTTTTGTTACATTTATTTTGTTACAATAATAAACGAGTGAATTCTAGCTAATCATTTAATAATTGTACATAAAAATAAACAATCCAACTTTTTGTGGGTTTATTAACATTTTTGCGCGTTATTGTTATTATTAACGAACCAAGACATTGAATGACCGTATTTCCATTTTTTGTTGTGCTATGCTACATCCATGCTATTTTGTCCACTAACACATTGTATATTACTAATGTGAATTTCATACCCATCTCCTTTTTTGGTTGTTTCCGTAAAAATTATTTTACATAGATGTGTAAAATAAACTCTTACAATTTTTTGTTGTTATAACCAGTGTTACCTCCGGAAACTCTGGAGGTTGCTGTGTGGAGATATGCATGACAAATTTATTTTGTAAACAGCTTTTGATGTTATTTGTATTTATTCCCTTAGTTTTGCACAGCCTGTACATTTACCATTAAATGACTTTACAAGTTATTTAAGTGTATGACCTTGAACACATTTTGTTCCGTCGTGGTACACTCATAGCATCACACACGTTGTTACCTGCTAACTAATACACTGCTACGCACAAACCTCTTGTTCTCCATTACTCGTGATTGTGATAACAGAACCCTAAATCAACTACCGTCCACATTTATAGACTACAACAAAATTATATCATATTCTACGTTAAGCTATATCACTGGAAGAACGGAACAGTGAGAAAAATGTTTACTTACACAAACGCAATATATAGGGCATTTATTTTTATTAGTAGATGTACGAACAGGCTTTGACATGACGCAATTCATGGGAGAATCCATGTAGCTCCTAGGAGGACACAACTGACAAGTAGGAAAAACACCACCTAGTATTACCTTAGGACTCCACAAGTAATCCGGCTGAAGCATTGGACGGTCTAAGTCCCTACTGACCCAAATTCTGTTTTGAAGGTAATTGATAGCAGAAGCATTATAATCGATCGTTCGTCTAAAAACTGCCTTCCTTGATTTACGTGCATCTGCCATCAGGTCAGACACATCTTTCTTCAAAGTATTTGGGTCGCTAGAAGGAGAATCCAACATCCCAAGGTTTTCCAGCATCGATCCGACGAAATCACCAGGTTATTAACGCGATGCGAACATGTAGTCGAATACGTAGTCCCCAAGGTGACAACGAACCCGCCAGGAAAAACAATGACTGAAGTTAAACATAATACCACCAAGTTATCAAAGCTTTGCAAAAGTGCTAAATGCATGCATTTCCTTCAATATTCAAAGCCAAAGATTGCACACAACGTGCTGCATATCCATCCCAACTAATATCCAGCTTAGATCAAACACTTCTCAGAATATCGACAAACTTCCACCTATGTTTTCAAGCTCATTCATCCCTAACTTCTGATTTTACTGGGTCGATATCCTTTGATTATAAAGGTTTTACAGGAAAGAGCGTCAAGAAGCCCTGAACATCCGTCGCATAGTAAGTAGTGGAGTCGACGTGAGCTGATACACCGAACGATAAACTGTATCTGTTCCCTACTGTGACACTATATATATATTTTTTTTTCTACACATCGTTATGTTATTTTTGTGTTCTCAGATTATCTTGTATGATCATGGCTTTTTCATTACTGTTTCAGAACACACACTCAAGCCTTCAGAGATTGAGACTGTTTCGTCCCTAGTTTACAACTTATCTCATTCCGCACAGGCAATGTCGCAGGCTGGTTCTGTTACCCACAACCTGAATTTCATGAGGACGGTATAATAGGCTCACTTGTGTATTTCCTTGCAGTGACGAAGACACTACCTTCTCGCGAATACTAATGATCGTCTAGAGAGTCTCCGACTCACAGCAGCAGACGGAAAAACAATCGCCACATACAGATAGAGGCACCTTTACCTAACCACTTAATTATTGAAGCCAAAGAAATATTTACTGGCAGATTTCATATTCAGTAATCAATACAAAAGGAAGGTCAGCCATGCTGAACGCGGGAACATTCATTCAATCGGATGGCATGGCCCAACCTCGCAGTAGTGGTCATTCTGTATAATTTGTCCCTATTCTCGTTTAATATATCGTTCCATCTTCAGTCCAAATGTGGAGTCCTATGGTAATACTAGGTGGTGTTTTTCCTACTTGTCAGTTGTGTCCTCCTAGGAGCTACATGGATTCTCCCATGAATTGCGTCATGTCAAAGCCTGTTCGTACATCTACTAATAAAAATAAATGCCCTATATATTGCGTTTGTGTAAGTAAACATTTTTCTCACTGTTTCGTAGTGGACACCTGAAGGGAGGCGGTTGATAACAGGAGCTTTCAGTGGTGAATTTACTTTGTGGAACGGTTTAGCGTTCAATTTTGAGACTATTTCTTGATAAATAATGACGGGACTTCTATGTAAGATCTTATAAATTAGGTTGTCACATTATGATAAATCTACGCCTTTAGGATTAAGTCTAGAATTATTACAGTACTAATAGCGAAGTAGACCATAATTATATAGGTCCACTCGATCCGATTAACTGGTTTTTTTTCAGACTTGTCGATGTTAGTTATTTTCGCAAACCTGCCACAATACCATGACCTACTCATCTGAGCAAGCAAACGGGGGTTGGTAGACGGAAGTAATGAATCATCGGTTTGTAGAACTTCATTCTCTGGTTGTATGTTATTGCCGGTCATAATTAAGGATGCAATCGATCCGTGCTTCAAAGCGATCCTTGCTAAGTATTCTGACCTGTAGAGACCTCAACCGAAACTACCATGTATAACCAGTAATGCTACACATCACATCACGTATATAGGATCACATGTATTCTCGAAGGCTCGCCAAGGACAAATTCTATCATATGATAGGCTTTGGAGTAACCCATCTATCAAACAACCAATGGGCGTCTCCCTTGTAAATGTTCCTTAAATGGACAATGGTGATTAGAGTCCGACTGGTGATTATCTCTGAATTAATACGAAAACCACACCGTTATGACAGCTACATTGAAACTTGCGACTGCCTTTCCAAAAATCGACTTGGTCAAGCATATAAACAAATCCTTATGGTTGCAAATGGTAGTCCTAAAGCAGTTATCATCACGGCCTTCGGACTCTAAGGATTTCTGTGTGCAGCTTTGGGTTTAATAAATTCTGCACGAACTTCTCAGAGATTCGCTGATGACGTATTCAGGGGTCCCAACTTTGTGCACACGTATGTGTGATGACTGCTTGATTGAGAGTCCGGATAAAGAATTTCTGGATCTTGTTTCCCAACGACCCCAAAAACATGACATTACTGTAGACATTCAATAATGTCAGGTTGGTATCGATTTTGTCGGACATACCATTGAGTTTCACGGTGACAGTCCTCTGAGAAATAGAGCGGTGCCACTCAGAACTACTCGAAACCGGCCATAGTCATGTATTTGTGCACTTTCGATGGGCTGGCGAGTTTCTATTGGCAGGTAAAACTGAATTGTACGTTTTATATGAAAACATTGACAGATGGATGTCGTGCAGATGTAAAAATTATTGACTCGGACGACGAAGCGTGGAAATAATCCTCTACAGATAAGAAAAGTATTCTAAAATTAGGTATGCTTGCACATCGCGACTGGAAAACATCAAATTCTGTCTCCTTCGATGCATCTGATTCGGAAGAATTTTTGAAGGTTCAGCACTTTTTTCAAGTCAAGTAATGTAGGTGTATTAGTTATGGCATGGAATGCTTAGAAATTATTGTCAAGCCATGAATATCCATGCTGCATTCAATCTGTTTGCTATCAAGAGGCGTAAAGTATATAATGTTCAGATCAATGTTGGTAAAAGTAGGTTAATAATTGACGGATAGAGATAAACTTTACTATGCAATAACCCGATTGCTTAATCATTCTAACGTTTTGGACATATTGACTTATCTCCAGTGAACACTTAAAAAATAGATATAATCTTAAAACCTTAACACCGTCGTTGGTCACGAATAGAATATGAGGTGTAATCATTTTGTATCCGTTACAATTCACCCTTCCAATTTAGGTATACGTTTAGCTCGATCAATAATTAGGGTGCTATTTCGCCCACTCAACAGACTAAATCTTCTAAACATAGATGAGAAATATTATTTAAAAGTGGTGCCACAAAAATTTATGGTCATTTTTTCTATTTTTTTAAGCTCCGGTTTCAAGATAAGGATTGTTGTCTGAAGAAAGTCTATCACCCAGCGGAAAGTTTGTCTAGTGCGTTACTCCATGGAATCTGGGGCGATATCTGTAGCTGTTACTTTGTTCAGAGAGACATTTCCTAGTTTGGATGACGATATCTCTAGCTACATAGAAAGTAAAAAGCGTTTCTTTTGTGGATGTTTATTTCAGGTATTCTCACTGAAAATGCTGAGCATTTTGACTCTGAGGGTGATGTGCATGACGCAATCGGTGGAGTTTTGGATGGGTTTCACCGTCAAAATAATGATCAAGAGATAAAAATCTTATGCAAAAAGATTTATCAACTAATGAGGCCGTAGGTTGTTTCAGTTTAACGTTGTTGGCACAGGTCTGACGGATTTGTTGAAAAACAAATGACTTTGGATGCTCCAGTGCAGATGGCAAGTTTACTGGATACATTCAGTGAAAGAGTGGTTGATAATTCTAGTATTTGGATGATGAAAAAACAAAACAGCACTATCGTCGATTCTAAAAAATTAGAAAAGGCTGAGGCTAAGATTAAAGAAAAGCAGCTGAAGAAAGCCATTATCGGAAAACCTGGTAATGCAGGGTTAGTCATACTTCGTAACTAAATTTTACTTAGAAGAGCCATCGAGGTCAAGGAGGATGAACGCGCTACAGTTAGTCAACAGACAGATCGACGGGAACTAGCGTCATCATCACATGTAGTGTCTCACGTAGGGGATATTCGTTTGGAAAATTTTGACATTGCATATGGTAGCAGGTATATTTTTCGAAGAATTCAAAATATGAAACCTTAATATTTGTGTATTTATGTACAGAAAACTCACTGAATTAATCTGTTTAGCTTGGGACTGAAGAATGTTAATATTTATCAACACAATTAAAAACTCACGAAGTAGTATAAGTACGAACAACTAGTATTGCGATCATATTGAAACTGTCAAAGTATTCTTTTACCCTTCCAATTACTGCCAATTCCGTCACCAGTGTGCACAAATAGACTGGTCACAAACTACGTATTATATAGCCGAAATCATCCGTTGCTACACTTTAAATCAATATAGCTAAAGGTATTAGCTAGAGAGGGAGCAGGTAACTAGTGGAATTATGGAAATAATGAGGAAGTATCAATAATGTTGCGTTAAATAATAAAATAAGAGTAGGTTCTGTAAATGAATATTATGCTTTGTATTTCCGATTACGAACTCGCGGAATTCTAATACAGAACATAATCTGAGCCAACTGAGTAAACCAAGCGACTAGTGCACTCAACAAGTGACTCCACGTGTTGTGGAAAGACAGACAAAGTTTTAAAAGTGTATATTGGAGGACCTCGGAAGGATTATCCTTTACTCTCAAGTTGGTCAATTATATACTAACCACAGTAGTTATAATTTACGGGCTGGGTAATTGTCACTGAACACAAATCTCGGTGAAAAATATACTGAAAAATCAGGTGACAACTTATAACTGGGCTACAAATAGTTGATAAGTAGAAATTATTAGGTAGTTTGCACATCGAAATGCGTTGAAGATGACTGGCGGAAAAACACTCTAAATCGATACACAAAAATAAAGTTGATTTTATTCTTTGTGCACTCTACTTGCAGGCTATGCGTACCCAACAATAAAACAATACGTTTAACAATAAAAGAGAAACTAATGCTTCCCCATCACTGAAACTACTAATGAGCTTAGACTCATTCAGCTAGTGCAACACTCCAGATTAAAAATACACACTTAGTATCAATATCATTCATTCAGTGGTTCTACCATACCCTGAGGTTGCTCTTTTGGTACTGAAACTGTAAATGCTCATATTATTTATTTACTTATTCTCGTATTTTCTGTCACTTCATTTCATCATACTTTACGTCTATTCACCTTATTATCTCTTTTCAACGTAAATTAATTCTATTTTCTTTCATATTATCTTTTATACTCGGTTAAGAACCTTCATGTCTGGACTCTTTTACTTGGATTCTGTTGTATGTTTCACGAATCATCATATGACTTAACTTTTGATATTAGTGCTTTCTCACATGGCCTATAACTCAATCGTTTTTTTAGACTGCACAAAAATGTGGATGATAAATTTGTTCCTTAACCAACATCTACAAAGACCATTATCTCACTCTATCAAAACTTCAGTGGATTTTCTAAAGGACAATGGTGGTCACAGTGTAGATATGTCATTATAAGTTTACTAACATTTTGTAGATATCCATGTATTTTGCGATACACATACTATTGAAAACACATTCATTTAGTTTATTGTTTCTGGGTTGTAAAAAGTCCAAAACCTTCATTGAGTCGGGTATGCAAATGGCAAATGAGTGTATTCCAACTCTTTAACTTCGGGGGATGGCCGTTCATAGGAGAAAACTTTTAACGAATGTTTTTATACGACCGTTTGATGTACCATACCGACTACCGTAGATGCAAGTTGAGAGAACTGAGTTGAGTCATAATATCGGTCACTGAAGCCATTAATTATTGGTCTAAACCCTATAGGGAGATAGAAACTTTTTAGTCAATCATGTTGAATAATAGTCAACCATAAATATTTCCGGCGTACAATACTTTATACAAAAACCACGTTTTCGTTAGTTAAAGGATTTTAATAGATTAATGATCCATGTATTTTCTAATCTAATCCCCTCAAAGCTAACTCAAACATGATCCAATTTTTCGCGCTATATTGACAAAAATCTATAGCCTTGAGTAGAGCAAAGTATTTTAGCACACTAGGCAATAAGTCCTCCCTACATCGTTCAAATTCGCAAGGGGATCAATTGGATGGAATAATTTTACTGTAGCTAACAGACCAATAGTTTACGGTTCTCTTCTAAATGATTGTCGTCGTGGTGGCATTGACAAGTAAATATTCACAGTTTAACTGCTACATACAAGTAGAAAATTCTCCTGGTTTGGTTAACGTACTTAATTTCTCTGTGGAATGACATACTGATCGTTCAGTCACTCGGCTTTCAACTTATATGTCGCCAGTTAGTACCCAACATCATCTACGTTGAGTTAGACAACCGGCTAACACCACCGGCTGTCCCCTTAAGCGATGTAACTTAAAGTTAAGTACATAAATCAGTATGTGGTAGGTTATTTATTCATAATTCCTTAATTTGGGATATTTTTCTGTAGGTAAATTAGATCATAAAAGGTCTAAAGTACAGTCAACTATTTGATGCAGCGGTTCCTGGATCATGGTAACTTACACCATACATTAAAAGAACAAGGCAAACTTAGATTTTTATAGTCATGCATACTACATTTTTTTATACCCCTCCTGCCTTTTTGAAGATTATTATATTCTTCATATTTATTTTCAGAGTTCTCTTACAAGGTGCCAATCTGTCTCTCACGTACGGTAAGAGGTATGGTTTAGTGGGACGAAATGGTTTCGGTAAAACAACTTTGCTTCGATCGTTAGCCAAGTAGGTGTTAGTTTTTCTTCACTTTTCCAATGTAGTTTATGTGTTGTGTTTTGGATTTGAATTTCATCAATTCACAACGTTAAAATTTATGGTGAAATTACTGCCTATTTTTCATATCTAGTTTCCAGTGGTACTTGATAAAATTATGATCAGAGATTTAATCAAGTTGAATTGTTGTCATTATAAAGATATCAATTTTACTTCAGTTCATGTAGTAGTCAAAAAATTTGGGGGTCAATTTAAATTTAGTGACTTACTTTCTGATCATCTGTAATGGGTTGGTGTCTGACAAATTCTCAGCACGGATTCGAAAAGCTCGTTTGGCTTTTGCCAACTCACGTCACCCATGGCGAAGGCGAGATATCCGTCTATCACTTAAGGGACGAGTATACTGCGCGGCTGCGAAACATGATCATTAAGGATAGGAGATATTCGTAAGTTACTAGTATTTGATCACAGATGTCTTAAAAATATTGCTCTCATCTTCTGAGATCACCGGGTAAATAATAAGGAGGTTAGATACAGGGTATTAGGGGATGATGGTAAATCAGTTGACGTGGTTGTGAATCTCCATCGACTGAGGTGGTTGGGCCACGTGTTGCGTATGCCTGAACACCGATTACCACGACGCGCAATGCTGACTAGTGTTAGGGAAGGTTGGAGGAAAGTTAAGGGCGGCCAAACCAAAACGTGGCATCAATGTTTGCAGTCACTAACTTCTAGTCTTAGCCATTTTGGTAGATGCAGACTACTTGGTTGTAGTTTGTGTGACTGTCGTAATCAATAGTTGGAGATTGTGGATGACATGGTTCAGAATCGATCATAGTGGCGTCGATGTACACACTCTTTGTCTTCCTTCATATCTTTCTTTCTACGAACTAATTGTTTCTTCCTGTACTGCATCCTTATATTCAATCTTCCTTTTATATATTACCACCACTGAATCAACTACTATGAATCCGGTGTTCATCTTGTGCTAATGAGGTGTGGCAACTTGGACCGATACACATATGTGCCTTGTCCTACGTTGTAGCTGACTGACTGATATGTTAATGCTGAGTAAAACTAGAGAGTGATGAGTCACTTCATTAAAAAGAAGAAAATACTGTTTTGAAGTATAGAAGAATGAATAGATATATTGTTTCTGTTCTACGAGTTCCCTAGATCACACGTTTTGTTCTGTTATCTATTTGTTTGATATAGATTCATACTCACTTTGTTTTCTCGTTTTGATTATATTTTATTTCTAAGATTATTTTGTTATGATAAAAAATTCATCTTCAGACCTATTGGTTTTCTCTGGTTAGTGATTTTCTAGCTGGGGTCGCTATCCCTATGAACAACCTTCTTTCTTTACCCACGTTAGGAGACCGACACTGAATCCAGAAGGGTTCGATACGAAGTTATTCTCAAACCTACTTATCTCCAAATAGTCCTTGTGCCGTTTCGAATCGATCTAAAGATCCATACTGATTCCATTTTTCAATAAAAATAGCGTTTTGTACTACGCACATATACTATTTTGATTTCATTATTATCACAACTGACAGTGGTTTACATGTATTCTGGTACTCCAGATTCCCTAAGAATTACTGATTTAGTTTACTTCTTGGCAATGTACTTTATATAAATCCACTTATGGTGCTGTTATGTGCTTATTGGTTTGTCTGTTTAATGTCGCTCTGTCTACATGTGTCTTAAGTATATTTGTACGTGACATGTGCATCTGTCATCTTTGTGGTTGATTTAATTAAACTGTTGTTCAATAGTCTCTTTATCTCCCCAGTTAGATGGGACTACATTAAAGGGAAAAAAATTATTAGTTGTCTACCAGGAATGGTAGTCTGTGTTTCAGGAAATAATCACTTATCAATATCAAGACATATATCATTAGAGAGGCTAATTTCATAATACCATTATTTCACTTGAAAAACCATAGATCATATATATTTGGACAATTTTTAGTGATGACATTTTTTGTATGATTCTTTTGTTATTTATTAATGTATGAAATATTAATTAGAATATATTGGCAGTGTTCATCGATTACAAAATTAGTGTTTTTCTTATTATGTTTTTGATGTGTACAAATGTTTAGTTCTCGTTCCCAACCTTTGATCTGATCTGTTTGTTAGGGAAACTTTGTAAATTCAATTGCAGGACATAAGCGCATTCTTTTAAGCACTTCCTATCAGCTTATATTAATTGCGTTTTTTATCTCACTGGTATGGCCCCCAAATGCCCTGGTATGGCCCCCAAATGCCCTGGTACGGCCCCCAAATGCCCTGGTACGCCCCCAAATGCCCTGGTACGTGCCCCCAAATGCCCTGGTACGGCCGAGAGTGGGGAGAGTCCGCTCTCCCTCTCGAAATGCTCTCATATGGCCACGCGTACATAGCCCCTGCCAGGGAAGTCCTACTCACTGCCTTCACGTGGCGGGGGTGTTGTTTACGAAAATGAGAGGACGAAAATCGAATGTCCGGCGCTTTAACCGGATCCAAAAACCAATGGTGCACATGGGCTCCAGTATCCTGAAGGAACAAATGGCGTATGAACCAATCGTTGGTCACCGGCTACCATGGGACTGCATCTCCTCACGATGCTCCACTGCCTTGTGGGTCAGACGTACAGGTCGAAGGCTCGGGGTATGGCCCCCTAAGAAGACCACCTGCTTCGGTTTGGGCACCCGGGCAGTATCACAGCCCTCACACAAATCAATTGAGATTTGTGTGGCGCATATGTATTTGGTGCCTCCTTGTACCAATACCTATGTGTTAAAATAAATAAATAAATAAATCTCACTGTAAGAATTCCAAAATCGAATTGTACAGAATGTAAGTATCCGTTTGAGAGTTTATTAGGAGTGATAAACTTCATTTTTTGAATGTTATCTCGTACTTTGGAAGAAAGCCCGTGAAATTGTGTAGATGAATAATCGTTTTTGATAAAAATACAAATATCTACCATCTTCTGTAATAAAAGAATTATAACTACGTATGGATTTGGATTTTAACATCGAGGTAAGTGGTATGTCATTTACTATGTATATTATCTTTTTACAATCTTTATAGTTTTATTAACTACTTAATACAATTAATAGTTGAATTTTTACATTTTTGACTAAAAACATTAAGGGGAGATTTGCGCCTACCACCAGGTGTCCGCGTACTACATGTAGAACAAGAAGTTGTTGGTGATTCCACTCCTGCTTTGGAAAGCGTTCTTCAAGCCGATATAGAAAGACACACCCTCCTTACTGAATTGGGTCGCCTTCGGGCTGAAATGAAAAGAAATTCTGGCACGGATCAAGGTTTATCTAGTAGCACAAGTACAATAGAATCTCGGGTCGCAGAGATTTATTCTCGTTTGAGTGCAATGGAAGCAGATAAGGCTCCAGCTCGAGCTGCGGTCGTTTTGCATGGTCTTGGCTTCAGTCCGGAAATGCAGGTTTGTTAATATCACATTATTTAATTTTACATCAAAAGGATATATAAGCGAACATTACTGTTTTCAGTTAGATCATCAAGCTCTACCTTAATATACAGTAATATTATATGGATATTTAAAGCTATTAAACTAATCGAGGCAGTTTGAGTTAATGATAACAGTGACGGATTATATAAGTAATTGTAATACGTAAAAACTACGAATCGAAAGTACGATAACAGGTGTACTAGTTATGATAAAAACCGTAAAGGCTTGAATCAATTTTTTTCAACATAGGAAGTAGGTTAAAATTCGAAAAAATAAATAATAAAGTATAATCCACTATATGTAAACCTGTTCATGATTTCTAAGTCCCATTATGATTATTTGATGGTGTCAATACTCAGTTATAATAACTAGCTATCATATCTTCGAATAATATGTTGTCTACATTTCAACAATCAGTTTGCCGTGGTGGCTGATTTCTACCTTTTGGCAACTTGAATCGATGCATATATGTGCCTGGTCCTACGTTGTAGCTGACTAAATGACCTTTAGACTAAGATGAGCATATCTCAGGATTTGGTACGAACAAAGATCTGATCCGTACATCCTGAGTAATACCTGGTATTGAATTAAGAATCAATTATAATACAGTTCAGGGTTCTGAGAACTGTGTTGACCAAGTTGAGTTATATCATAAAAACACCAAGTTCAAAAAGCTTTTGTTGTGGTCAAAATATATAAATTATTTTGTGTGATGCATATATATTTGGTGCCCTATTGTACTAATATTTATGTGTTCAAATCAAATCAAACAATAATAAAGATATTTCACTCGTTCATTCTCATTTTATTATACAGGCTAAGCCCACAAAAGAATTTTCTGGCGGATGGCGTATGCGTTTAGCTTTAGCACAAGCACTTTTTGCGAAACCAGACCTACTTTTGCTGGATGAACCTACCAATATGCTTGATATGCGCGCAATAATTTGGTTAGAAGACTACTTGCAGGTAACGTTTCTCAGTATTTAGTTTGCTTTTTAAGTTTACTTTAACGTATCATGAAATAATATTAGAAATCAAGATTCACGGGAAAATAAATAATGAATGAATCTGTTTTACAGCGACAAGTTTTAAGTCGTGTCATGTAAGGTTCCTAATCGATAAATACAGTACATTCTATTCTCAATGACGCGGTACAAATACGTGGTTAGGTTTTTGTAATGTGATCTGCAAGTTTAATTTCACTGTATTTTTCATTTTGCTTACACTTAATTGTTTATAGTCCTCATCTAACATCCTTTTGATTGTCTCACACGATCGAAGTTTTTTAAATACGGTTGCAACTGATATTATTCACTTGAATTGCAAGCGTTTGGATGCATACCGAGGGAATTATGATGCTTTTGAGCAAGCTCGTTCTGAAAGATTGCTAAACCAACAAAGGGAGTACGAATCATTGAAAGCTGAAAGAGAGCATATACAAGTGAGTTAAGTCATTATTTAAAAGGAAAATTTATTCATGTTACTAAATAGTTTGTTTCTTACGATTTCTTTTATTTTTAGCGAATAAAATAAGTTTACCCATTTGTTTTTCATACGGAACAGTTTAGTTTATAATGTAATATATGAAATCAAGTTTATATCGGTATATTTGGTAAATTCGTAATGGCGCATTACTTAATCTCAGCGAGGTAATCTGCAAACTCCAATAGATCAATAAAAATGAGTTTAGTTAGTCAGCCAGTCAGTTACAACGTAAAACCTGTGTCTATGTATATCAATTCGAGCTAAAAACGCTCTTCGGTTATTTTGTTTGTTTCAGTACACCGTTTTACCACCTTATTTCTAAAAATACTGTAAATGTACTTATATACAAATAACTGTAAATCTGATCAATGTTCTTTGGTGAGTCTAATAACTAATTCTACTCAAGATATAACTTCTTCCACTGGAATTTCAAGGGCTAAGTGAAAAGACGAGGAAGATATCCTTCATTTATGGATGTTTATCACAACGTAGAACCTGGTACGTACGAATATCGGTTCGAGTTGCCATATTTCATTAGCACAGAAAAATAAAATTGTCGAGTCAAATCTCAGAATGGTAGAGGCAGTAAAAATTTCAGTGGTAATAGAAAAGATTAGGAATCGAAGATATGACTCGAGAAGAAAATATAAACTAGCGAAATAAAATAAATAAAGGTTTTGGGAATTTAGATTCTCAGAGTTTGGGGGAAGACAAAGAACGAATTCATCTGCTCCATTACAAACGATTTTGAGCCATGTCATTCAAGATTACGCCGACCCCGACCAGGTAGTCTACATTTATTAACATGTCCAAGTCAAATTGTCATTAACTTCATGGACTGATGCCATGTTTTGGCCTGGCCACCCCTAGCTTTCTTCCAACCTACTCCTGTACCACACAATCGCTCGTCAAGCTAGACAGTGCTCGGACATACTAACATATGTCTCAAACACCTCAGTTGATGAAGATTTGCTACCTTTTCAATCGATTTGTCATCCTTACCTAGCATCCCATTCCTAACTTAGACATTGCTCACTTCATGATCCCGAAATACACTATCAGTGCTTCAAAGACATGCACGGACAGTATTCCAACTCTCACACAAATTGAACGATGGAGTGTGGCGCAAATACATTTGGCATCTCCTTATACCAATGTTTATGTGTTTAAATAAATAAATGATGGAATACTGGTAACCTACGAATATCCTCTATTCTTAATGGCCTTGTTTTACATCCATAAAAGGGAATGGAGCGAACTGTTGCACTGTGAACTTGCCTTTTGTTTGGAAGAGGGATGTCTCACTTACACCACAAGTGACGCAAGTCGGCAAAAGCCAATCGAGCCCTCTGGATCCGTGCTGAGATTTCGTCAGACATCAGACCATCAGTACTGATGAGACTTCCAAGATAAGTGAGGCAACTCAATCCTGAAGTTGCATTTTACATTTCGAGGGGTAGAACTACATCCCCAAAATGCTTACATTGTTGATTAAGGTTGTCAAAAGACTATTTTGTCGGCGTCTTCACCAAACAAAACTATATCATCAACAATTGAACCTTCTGATATAAGATCGACATCTGAGAGTCAGATGATGAAAGCATGACATTTAAAACCATGTCTATGATAAAGTTAAACTCGAATGAGTTAGGTGGTCAACTCTGATAAGGACCACTTGAGGTAATTAATTCCGATGAAAGTTCACTATAAGCTCTGACTCGACCGTTAGTGTTCGATTAGAGTGCCTCTACAAGGTTAATATACTTCTTTAGTACACCTTTCAATAACACACCGCTACAGAACCTCACGATCAATAGAGTCGAAAACCGCCTTAAGATCAAGAAAGACAACTATTGTCGTGAGTCAAAAGGCACTTCTATGTTTCAGAACTTGATGAAGAGTGAATATTTGGTCTATACATCTGCGTCCATGTCTGAAAGCAGTCTGATTTTCTCGGATTTGCTCTTTACGTGCTCGAGGTGTTATAACTCTCAGTTTTCTCCATCTACACGAATTAGACGTTAATTTACTTTAGACGAATATCTACACTAGGTACCCTTCCAGTGTCTGCTCTACAGAACATCAACACAACTCAGATCGAGAACACGTGACTAGCCTGACTGGAACGTAAGTATATTTCTACTCCAAAAAACCGACACCAGTCACAATAATAATAAGATTAGAGAAATATATAACTCTTCTAATACCTATCAGACTGTCTACTAGTATGACCAAGCAAATAACCAATCATTATTTCCCTCGTTCACATATGAGGAAGTATTATTGAGGCCAATATTTTAGATACTATATAAGTTAAACTGATTCCTCTTCGATTGTCACAAGAGGGTTTTAATTATTTCTCATAGACTAACGATCAGCTATGGAGACCAGTCAGATGGGATTATGTTCATTTCCCGGATCCTAGCTAAGATCTCAGACAACTCAACTGCTAAAACTGGACCACCACCCCTAAAAATCTCAAAGGTTAATCTATAAGGTCCTGCTGCCCTCCCTGGCTTTAGATTACTTCAATTCCTCATTCAGGTTGCTTGGAGATAGTGGGTAACTGAAGTGTGGCTGAAGGCCAGTTGAACTATTCCCTAAGGTGTTTTGCCGACTGGTTCAATCTCATTGATTGTGAGTGAATAGTTCTATATTTTTCCGAGATTCACTAACAGCCGGGTTTGTAATACCTGTTTCCTTGATAAGTCTAAACAGTTGTGTACTGTTACATATCGCTGCTGCTGAAATCAATTGGATATCATACCAAGCTACTTCGGGGTTGATTTCATTTTCGCTGTTGACTAGCTCCTTTTCTAGAGCTAAAGAATGAGCGACAGTCTTCAATCGGGCCCCTCCGACGATGGCTAGTGACAATGGGATTTATTTGAGTCCAATGATGTGTCGACTGTGGTCACCATATCAAACGATGTCTCTCCTTGTGTTTTTCAAGTTGGTATTTGCCAGAAATAGATGGTTATCTGAGGATAGTTGAAACAGACGGTCACGATTATGTGTTCGCTGAGCCGTAACACCATAAGATCTTCCTAGGTGCCTTTCGTTTTGGTTTAGTTTACTTACTTGCGCATTAAAACCACGTAGCATTGTTACTACGTCAGAGCGTTTAGCTTTTCAAAGGAGGTTGGATAGCTTCCTATAAAACTCATCTCTTACTTCCGAGCTACAATCTGTGGCAACGTGGCGTGTCCCTATATTTTCGAGTTTTTGCTGTCCCGTTTATTCGAACAACACACAAGCGACTATTTAGGGTCCTATCTACAGAAGACTTATCCTACCTGACACAAGGTTCAAATCTCAAAAGTTCCAGCATGTAGTTTCGAGCGTGGTTTCAAGAGACCGAGAGTAACATTTCGCGAACTTAAATTATTAGCATCTTTGGCGCGTGGTGACAATGGTAAATTAGAAGGTTAGAACAATAATTAAGTCAGAATAATATGAATTCATTATATTCCGTGTTTTTCATCGGCTGATTACAACCATATGTGTACTGGAAGGTCACATTGAGATAAGTGAGAAGGGTTAGTTGCGGGGATGGGGGATTATTAAGAGGTGCTGGAGGGAATCAATCGTCAACTGTTACGTCCCTCTACAGTCAACAGTACTTCGGACCTCAAAGTGCTGCTTTTAGTCTTACAGTTCTCTAATCGACCTGTCTGGCGTGGTAGTGTGGCGTGTGCTACTTATGTAGACATAAGTAGTATATGTTTGTCGTGAACAGAATGTCTGGCAGCAGAGAGAAAAGAAGACCGAACAGTAAAGAATGGAAACAGAATGCAATTTGTGTGAAAATGTAAGGACAAAGGAAGTCTGAGTCATTTGAGACAATTGGTGGACATTTTGCAAATTCAGTCAGTTAGTCAGTCAGCTGCAACGTAGGACCAGGCACGTATATGCATCGGTCCAAGTTGCCATACCGCATTAGCACAACAAGATGAACATCGGATTCATAGAAGTAGTTAATTCAGTGGTGGTAATATATAGAAGAAAGAGTGTGTATAAGGATATAGTACAAGAAGATAGAATTAGTTCCTAGAAAGAAAGATTTGAAGGGATTTTAATCTCTTAGTTTAAAGGAAGACAGAGAGTGAATACACCGACGCCATTGTGATCGATTCTGAGCCATGTCACCAAGAGTCTCCAACCATTGGTTACGATAGTCACGCGGACCCCAACCAGGCAGTCTGCATCTACCAACATGGCTCAGACCAGAAGTTAGTGACTTCAAGCACTGATGCCACGTTTTGGTTTGGCCGCCCCTAACTTTCTTCCAATCATCCCTAACACCCGTTAGCATTGCGCGTCGTGGTAATCGGTGTTCAGGCATACGCAGCACGTGGCCCAACCATCTCAGTCGATGAAGGTTCATAACCTCATCAACTGATTTACCATCATTCCCTAATACCCTGTATCTAACCTCACTATTACTTACCCGGTGATCCCAGCAGATACCCGCAATATTTCTAAGGCACCTGTGGTCAAATACTAGTAACTTACGAATATCTTCTACTCTTAAAGACCATGTTTCGCAACCGTATAGTAGAACGGAACGAACCGCCGCGCAGTATACTCGTCCCTTAATTGATAGACGAATATTTCGCCTTCGCCATAGATGACGTAAGTTGGCAAAGGCCAAGCGAGCTTTTCGAATCCGTGCTGAGATTTCGTCAGACACCAACCCATTAGGGCTGATCAGACTTCCAAGATAAGTGAAGTTGTCCACGCGTTCGACTACTTCACCCCCTATCCTTAGTTCAGGTGTTGACGCAGACCAGTCCTGAAGCAACAACTTGCATTTAGAGGGAGAGAAGCGCATCCCAAACATTCTGGCATTGTTGCTCAGTGCTACCAAAAGACTGCATTTCATCAGCATCTTCACCATACAGGACTATGTCAACTGCGTATTCTAAGTCAATAAGTGGACCTCCTGGTAGGAGATCAATACCCGAGAATTCAGTCGATGAGAGCGTTATTTCCATCAGGATGTCTATGATAAAGTTAAACAAAAAAGGAGAAAGTGGACAGCCTTGACGGACCCCACTTGAGGTTGCAAAAGCAGATGACAGTTCGCCATAGGCTCTGACCCGACTAGTAGTGTTCGAGTAAAGAGCCTTCACAAGGTTTATGTACTTCTGAGGTACGTCTTTCAATGACAGACACTGCCACAGAACCTCTCGGTCAACAGAGTCAAACGCTGCTTTTAAGTCAAGGAAGACCATTATTGTCGGACGCCGATAAGCATGTCTGTGTTCTAGAACCTGACGAATAGTGAATATGTGGTCGATGCAGCCACGACCAGGTCTGAAGCCAGCCTGAATTTCACGTGTTTGCAGCTCACGAGTCTTAGTTAGGCGTCCGAAAATTATCGAAGCTAGTATTTTAGATATTAAATTAGTTAAACTAATCCCTCTGTGGTTGTCACAGGATGATTTTGACCCTTTCTTAAATATTGGGACGATAAGTGATTGTGACCAGTTAGATGGAATAACGTCTAACTCCCAGATTTCAGCTAAAATATTAGTCAACCTAATCGCTAAAACTAGACCACCATCCTTAAAGACCTCTGGGGTTAATCCATCTGGACCAGCTGCCCTTCCTCGTTTCAGATTAGCTATAGCCTTTTGAACTTCAGCTAGAGTTGGGGGACCTACTTCAATGTTCCATTCACACTGTCTGGGGATAGAGGGTAGTTGTAGAGTAGCTGAAGGCCAGCTACACTGCTCCTTAAAGTGTTCCGCCCATCGTTCTAAACGTCTGGACTGGAAGCAGATGAGTGTCGTGTTTTTCCGAAATAGTCTGACTTACACTTGATTTATTAGTTCCAATTTATTTGCAGCAGACGATCACTGTTATCTGTTCTCTGTGCCGGAATACTAAAATACCCACCTAAATATCTTTCTGTTTCGTTTAAGCTACCTACCTGGGCATTAAAGTCGCGTGCTACGAGTACTATGTCTGAACGTTTAGCTTTCTGTAAAATTCATCTTTCACTTCATCCGAACTGCAGTCAGTGGGAGCGTAGGCAGAAACGACGAAAAGGCATCGACGTGTGTCCCTATTCTTCCGAGTTCTTACGGAGCCGTTTAGCCGAACAGCGCATAGACGACTGTTAACGGGGATCCACTCTAATAACGCTTGTTCCGCCCTCATGCTTAGTGCTATGCCTACACCTGCCAGTCCACGAGAACTAGCCATCGGGTCGCCAGATACACGGAGGGTGTATCTCGTCGGCACTCCGTTTTGCCGAGGTGAGGTCAAGTGAATGACCACACTAGGATCCTGTATGCGTGTTTCGGAGACACAGCATACATCAATCGTACGAGATTCTAAGGTTTTAGCCAAGGAAGCCTGCTGACCGATTTGACATAGTGTGCGTACGTTGAAGGCTCCGATGTGTAGTTTGGAGCTAGGTTTCAGTATACCTGGGACAGTGTTTTGCGCACTAGAATCGTTGACTGTGGTGATACTTGAGGAGGAAGCTGAAAGAGGAAGTTTAGATTTAAAAGTCGATGTAAGAGGAATAATAGGAATTGAAGAGGGAGGTTGATTATGAATACAGTGGTCTTGAGTGCTGTTAGAAGTATGAGGGCGGTTATCACTTCCCGGTTGCCCACACCGTGGGTTTTTCTGGAGGTACCTGAAAACGAAATCGGGTTAAAGGTGGTCATAGTGACCTTCGAGCGTGACCGCAGTGCCCAAGGGACAGCTGCTTGAGGTCGGTCACACACGACCTTTTTATGAGTAATTTTTGTGTTAGCTCCGTACTTGTTGAGACCTTACCGCCGGAGACGGATATCCGTGGGATAAGGCGAGGTGTGCATTTTTAGGGTCGACCTTTTCTAACCCGTCCCCTCCTTTTGGGAAGGCAGCATCGCTGTTATGCTGGTTGTCTGAAGGAAACACCCTACTGCTGTCACACCTCTGTACAGTCAGCAGTACGACTTCGCCTTCGGATCTTGGTTTTGTTGCTTTTAGTCTTACCGCTCTTCAACCGACCTGTCTGGCATGGTAGGACCTTGAGGAACGGTTGTTCCAGCCAGTATAGCTCAGTTGCTTTATCACGATAGGCAAGCCCGACCACCATGTCAAGGTAGCAACAACGGTCAGGATTTTGCGAATTAAGCATTTGCTATATGGTTGTTAGATTTTACTAACTAGTTCTGTAATTTGTTGTCAAATACATTCGATTGTCCCCATTGGTGTTCTTGTTCACTACAGTAGGACCTAAAGGATCATGTGCTACAGTCAATATTAGCTCGGTTAAGTCATCACGATAGACAAAGCCGACCACCATGTCCAAATAGCAGGTACAGTGAGGTTCAAAGCAATATTTAGTTCAGTTATGAATGTTCTATTTCGTTCGTTAAGTTTAGTTGTATGTAGTTAATTAAAATCTTCAATTTATTATGATCTTTCTAATATTTTAGTATCACTTATCAACATCCAACAAAATGTTCAGCTGAAGTGTGTACTGTGATTAGTCTGATGGTTCTTGTTGTCTGGCTTATTTGTTTGCTTTACGCAAGTGAATTACTAATTTCCTCAGTAGTTCATATTCTTGATCGTTTTAAACACTTATTGTTACTGATAACTAAGTAGGGACACACTTTGCGGCTTTTCAGAGTCATAAAGTTTGTATGTTGAGAAAAATGTCCTTAGAATGTTATATTAAACTTTTAACCCCACTGTAGATATTATGAAGAAACTTAGTAATCTCATAATGTAACTCCCACTGAGGTTATAGTTGCGAATGCTGCTTGACTGTAATCTAAAAATATTTCAGTCTAAAGTATGCTTTAGTTAGAGAGCGTTAATAGACTTATTTGTCTGATAAATCCTGTTTCATTTGAAAATGATATTCACTGATATTGTAATTATAATTATTTATATTCTTAGCAATTTATAGATAAATTTCGTTACAATGCAAAACGTGCATCCCTCGTACAAAGTAGAATTAAGCATTTAGAAAAGTTGCCACCATTAATTCCTCCTGAAAAAGAGTTGAAGGTTGTGATTCGACTGCCTGATTGTGAGAAACTTTCTCCTCCATTGTTACAACTTGATGAAGTTTGTTTTCATTATGTACTGGACAAACCAATTTTAAATCATGTCAATTTGAACATTTCACCAGATTCACGAATCAGCATTGTAAGTTATTAAACTATACAATTATTATATATATATATATATATATATATATATATATATATATATATATATATATATATATATATATATATATATATATATATATATATATATATATAAAATATTCACTTTTCATGTCAGATAAGTCATACCGAGCTTCATTGATCAAAAACTAAATATTATCTTTTGAGTGTCAGTTCGTTAATTTATAAATTTCCTAATACGTTTTCCAATTAATGGATATAATTCATTTCTCCTGTTTACTTTATATAGACTCTGTTTTGAGGTGTACTTTAAATGTAAGGATTATCGATTTCATCTCATGGCACGAAATCACTAAACTAGGTAAAGCGGGGCTTAAACCTGAAAGCCTATGGTTAAATGTGTTTATTTATTTGAAGTGCATAAATTCTGGTGTAGTATAGTTCCGAAAATGTACCACATAAAAGAAATGATAATATAATGAAGAAATAAAGGGAAAACAATGCCAATAAAGTCAATTTATAAATGAACAAGTGTAGTATATGATAAGACAGTTCTGTTAAACAGATAGCAATTAAAGAATTCCTTCAGTTAAGAAAAATTGTCTGACGTTTATGCAGAATAGAACAGTAAACTAAATCAGGATTGCCACTGGCTTCTATTGTAAGCCGAGGCATGTCTGATAACGTCTGAAATCATTGGGTTACACCATCTCTAGAATCTCAAAGAGAGTCTTCATGGACTGACAGATGCCTATCCTTTAACGCTTTCTTTAATACCACAGCACTATGCTATAAACCGACCATCTCTCCACTTTTTCCAATCAGCCTCATAGTTGGCAAATAACGCACGATGCGAAAACTGCTGGGATGACATTCATAATACATGTTCGAGCTACCGAGGTTGGTGTTTCAAGATGGTGCTTCCAATCGATTTATCGTCACCGTGCCCTAACACATTGCCGAACCTCCTCATTACTAACATAGTGTTACTACTAAATGTCAGCAATCCTTCGAAGACAACAATATTTTAACACAAAGTCGCCCAACATTCTTGACCCGCAAAGACTAGGTTTTGCAGGCATACAAAAAACTGCTCTCACCGATGCCTTGTACACCGGACGTTTTACGACCGAACTAACATGATGGTGGTTCCAAAGATAACCCAGATTAGCTTAATCCACTTTGGCTTTCGCTGTACGTAGATTGATTTTCATCTGACCTGCTACTGCAAGCACTCACCCAACTGCTCAAATACATAAACTTTTTGACTACTAAAAGTTAGTGACAAAGTGAGTGCAAACTACTGGTTGGAATTTAATGAACAAATATTGACTAGTATTGTGGGTTTTAATTTAATTCTTTAAACGACACGGACTTAACTTATTTTCATTTTCCAGCACTTTTCTTTTGGGTTACTAATGGATTTTTTAGATTTTATTCTACTTCAATTTTTATTATTAGTTCATTTAGTGAATTATTCTTATTGATCTTTGTCAACTGTTTTCTTATTCAGGTTGGTGAAAATGGTGCAGGTAAAACGACATTACTTCGGCTTCTTTTAGGTGATTTAGAACCGACTTCAGGATTACGTCACGCACATCGTAGTTTACGTATTGGTTACTTTAGCCAACATCATGTTGACCAACTGGATTTAAAATTAAGCAGTTTAGAATTTTTGATGAGAAAGTTCCCAAATCAGACTGAACAAGTTTATCGTTCCCAGTTGGCGAATTTCAATATAACGGAAATGCTTGCTCTTCAACCAATCGGTAGTTTGTCAGGCGGACAAAAATCAAGAGTTGCATTTGTTGCTATGTGTATGTCCAAGTAAGTTTTACGGCAACTAATGAGTTTTTTTATTCTGGTAACAACATTAAATGATATTATAATGACTCACTAATCGATTGTTAAACTGACCCACACAGTTTTTAAATTTTCTATTCGTCATTCTACTTTTATACAGCTCATGTGAAATTTTTACCAAGTACTAGTATCTATTACAATGACTGTAGCAACATTCTCTTTAGTCATTTCTAGTGAGCTCATCAATAATTACTTAAGCTTCATTTTCAGTGTTTGTATTACAACTGTACAATGTAACATAGGAAAGAAACAGATACGAAAACACCAAATCTTGCACAAGTGTTTTACTTCAAATTGTCGTATTCTCAAATTCATAAGGGCTGAGAACAATCAGTAAAACAAGTCAAAAAATGCCTCAAATAAAGGTGAATCGATGTATAAAGAACAATGTTTGAGAAAATATTAGATAATCTGTTCATAGGAGGTAATGGAATTCTGAAGTTAGGTGAGACGTTTACTGCTATTATCGTTCTCAATCGTAACAATCCAACTAGTAGTGGTTGGAAGACTTATTAGATATGAATTTAAACAAATGTTCAAAGTTATGAAAACACAGCCAAACCAACGTACTTAACAATGATGTGCAACATCTATTGTATTAAGTCTAATAGTAGTATTGTTTGAATCCTATTGGGTGTACATAGTGGATAGAAACAAAATTTTTATGCTACTCATCAATAACTGTAGTCTATTAAAATGCATAGACAGATTAATTGTAATAATAATTTAACACGGCTTCCCTAATGAAATTGGCTAGTTTGAAGCAGTCATGTTTTATAAGAAGTACGTCCTATGCAAATAAAATTAAAAACGGTGAAAGTAATTATTTCTCACTGGTCTTTAGCTAACTAACTGGGGAATAACAAAAATCAACTGTTGTTTAAACTAATGACGAAATTTCAACTTTGGTTTTATCGGTCACGAATATGTTGATATCATGTGGTTGTCCTACATGTACAAGTTAACCATTAACTAGGTAAACGTGGTCTTGTTTATACATTTGTATTTAGCTATGTCGAATATTGATACACTTCTTACTATTTAAAAGGATTTACAGACCTACCTAGGAAGTTCATTTTCTGTCCTTTCAATTTTTAGCCCAAATATGCTTGTTCTCGATGAACCGACAAATCATCTAGATGTAGAAACGATTGCAGGCTTATCTGATGCTTTGGTTAATTTTCCCGGTGGAGTTGTACTTGTTTCACATGACGAACGTTTAATTCAAGCTGTATGTAATGAAGTATGGGTGTGTACACGCATGGGCATAAGTCCTGTTGACAGTGCTAAAGGAAGTCGTGTATATTCATTACCAGGTGGTTTGGAAGAATACAAAAAAGCCGTTCGAGTTGAACTGGTTCAACTAAAATCTTAATCTATTAAGATGAAATTTGTATGAAATATCCTGACATTTTATTATTATGTAATTCTTCAAGATGGACTATAATTTTGGCTGTGCTTCATTATTCTTCATCTGTTTGCTTTCAGTGAAATTTCTTTACTTGGAATAGATATGGCTTATTTTTTTGTTTGTTTTACTTATTCAGCTGCCTTTATTTACTGTCTTTTGTTAAGACACATTTGGCTGTTTCCTAATACACTGCGTCCGTCAGCTAGTTTATTTAAAAGCCGCAGTTAAATAATCTCATTTGCCATGCTCAGGTGTATATGGTCAGCTTTGAGTTACATAGTGTACTAGAAGCCTAGCTAGTGGTACTATCGGGCTGCTAAAACTGAACTAGTCCGGAGGGGATCCAGACGTTGGACATGCAGTCAGACAGTAACAGTAAACATATGCAAAGCAACCAACCGTAAAGTCGAAGAGGTAGATTTTATGATTTATCATAAAAGAACTTGTTAACGATGCATGAAGTAAAGATGTTTTTTTCGAATATCACATTCACCGTACTTAAAATTACTTTTTATATATAGTGGGGTGTAATATAAATAAAGAGTTTAATGTGTCATTAACAGAGCCACTCAAAGTCGGTCAGAATCCTAAGCTACGTATCAGTCAAATGGTATTAATGATGAGATAACACATAGAAACGAGATGTAAAAGATTATCCACCAGAAGATTGTAAGGAAAATGAAAATATGAACGAATAGGAATCCATTCTGCATGTAAAAAAATAGCTATAAATATTATTGTACAGCTTTAGTAAATGATCGTCGAAAGTAGCTTTCTTCACCGAAAAGTTACGATTTCGTTGAATGGTTCAATGGTTTTCTTTCGTTATTTCAAGGTCTTTAATTGTGATACTGCAACAGTGGTACAGAGTACGATCATCGAAGATTTCCTAACCACAAACGCTTTTTTCTGCGCTAATGTGGTATGGCAACTCGAATTGATGTACGTACGTAAGAAGTTCTACGTTGTTACAGACTGACTGAATCCTATGAGATACCTAGGTCATTTAGTGTATACAATTTAATATCATGTTTCGTTTTTTCTGTTAATAGCCGAAGTTATTGATTTACAATAACACTGTTCCTCAGTCGATAAATAAATACATAAAAAGTTGAAATATCTAGAAAATTTATGCACAGGAAGAAAACTGTTGTTCATTATTACTAACAAGCTTGATAATTGTACACAACCCACTAGGTACCCAATCTGGCCTTTGTTTTTATTGTTTTATGAATAAATAAAAATAAACCACATCATTGAAAGTATAATTTAAGGGAAAAACAAAATAAGCTGAAGAATAGAAAATAGAAGTGAAACTGAACGGAATTAGTAACAATAATAATAGCGGCAACAACATTGCAGAGCGAACATAATAAAGGAGAGCGGGCAATAGAGAAAAATAAAAGGGGTTTTATTTAAGTTCGCAAAATTTACATCCAATGTACTCTCATAAATAATTGTCTGAGGATTAAAGATAAACGAGAAAATAGCGAAAGACATATCAGTTAAATGAATATTTATCTGAAGTTAGTTAATGTGCGAAAAAAAAACGGTTCAAAAGTGAACTAACAGGAAAAGGGCAAATAATTAGGTGTTTTAAAACTAAAAAGTCCTCATTTTTCATAATTTATACACTTTTTGACGTGTTTATGTGCAAGCGGAATAAAAAGATCTTTTATTATTTGTTACATTTTTTTATCATAAGCCGTAAGTATTCTTCCACTTCTGTTCATCCTCAACTTTAGCTTCAGGTCTAAGTTGGTTACGTAAGCCCCCCAGAATATTTGCTGTTACCTGTAGAGATTGATCATAAGAAAAGGCGATAATGGCAAATTGATCACAATATTTGAATGACATTAAACAATTATATGGACAGAAAATATTTAGTGATAACAGATTACAGAACTTAATGATTCTCATTACATAATAAAATCGTTGTACATGTGGTAACCAGAAAATTAAAAGTAATTTTCAGCCTGCCAGTTTCTAGCTCTATTTGATACTCTTATCATCCTGAGGAAAGAAGTCTTTTTCACTACGATACAATTGATCATCTGGATAAATAACTGAATTTAATTTATAGCTTATGTTGTGCGGTCGTACGAGTCAGATACTCATATAAAAGTTTTCTATATGAGCCGACCAGCTGCTTGTGTGAAAAAACCGAATGAGCAGAAAGCCATTTACTGCCTAAGCGACTCGAGCATGAATCCATGGCTGTCTCGAAAACAGGTACATATCTTTCAGAAAGTGAGACCATACGTTCAACTAGTAGCGTGGGCTCGTCCGATTGACCGAACGTTTTAACTTTTCTGAAAAGGAAATCTGGAAGGGATTGGGTGGGGGATGCATCGATGATAGTGTATCAAAAGGGTAATTGAAAAGCACTACAAGGTCATACTTAGAAAAAATCTTGCAAATTTAGTTGTGTTTGGCAGAACGTACACGCATCCAGCAATGAACATTTCAGTGAATCATACAAACAGCAGTATAAAACTCAAAGAGGGAAGAGAAAAATAAACCAATTCATTGTGCTTACTTCACAGCTAGCCACTATGGGCGTAACCATAGTTGGTGGTATTTGACGTAACACATCACCAACCATTCCAACTGGACCTTTATATCCAATTTCAACTTCTGATGGTAATGCAGTAGCACCACACAAATCTTCTGCTACCATTTGAAATCCTCGCGTCAATACATTTACAGCATTACCAAATCCTTCGCGTATATCAGCTGGTTGTCTTAAATATAATCGTCGACTACGTAAAGCTGGTCCTGGTGTAACTAAATCGTAAGCCGTCTAAATTATGAAAAGAAAAATAACAAATACGTAATTTATTATGGTGTAAAGGACACGTAACTAATTCATATATAATATTGATTGCTAACAAACAAACAACAAAAGTATTTAGAAGGTACGAATCAACTAGAAAAGAAATAATGCGATGTTACCAATTTACACCAAGATAAATATTGATTGTATCTTTTCCAATGAGATCGATTATAATTTTAAACTTGTACTTTCGAGATAAAATCGAATGTTTAGTTATTCATTCATTGGCCATGTGTTGAATGTAAGAACGCACGGGTAAACTAATCTTACTCAATTCTTGATTATTACTAGGAAAGAAATATCGACGGAACAGTACTGAAGTTATAGTTTTTATCCTGTTAGTTACAAAAGTTGTTTGGTTAAAACCTTATTTAGCCTTATTCAACCATAAAATACGGGAAGAAATAGCATACATTCATGAGTATCTTATTAAAATGGATATCTGGAGAAATTTATTGTGAAGTAGGGGAAAATATCTGGAAGGAAGTAAAGTATTCGCAAGTGCGACCAGTGGTGTGGTGTGCCAGTCAGACTGGTTGGTAGTCTTTTCTGGAGAGGCCTGTAGGCCCTTCTGGTATGGGTTCCGTGTTTTCAAGGCTCACAAACCTATTGCGTGGATGTGATTTCGTGGAGAATCACGACCCCGCAGGTCTTTGCTTGTATGTAGGTATCGTGACATGGAAAGCAAGTATATGATTTTTTGAAGTTTTTGCTTACTCTGGATAAGTATAATCTACATGCATAATAGGTGACACACATATTTCCATCCGAGTATTCCTTGGTATAGTTACAGATATACCTACTCTGTGAGCAAATATACGTTACATGCACACAGATGACACAAATTTTATCCTATAGCATACATATAGGTGTATTCACCCACTTCGGAGGCCAGATGTTCATCGGTCCCTTGAAAACATATTTGCTACAACAGACTGTCTCTTAAACATTAAATGCATATCATTCAGCCCATGGCTACCACCCCAGTACTTTCTGACATACACATAAGCATAAGTGAGACCGCCAGACATTTAACTGATAGTGGATACTGTTTTTATTTATTTATTTATTTTAACACATAAGTATAGGTACAGGGAGGCACCAAGTGCATATGCGCCACACGAATCTCAATTGATTTGTGTGAGGGCTGTGATACTGCCCGGGTGCCCAAACCGAAGCAGGTGGTCTTCTTAGAGGGCCATACCCCGAGCCTTCGACCTGTACGTCTGACCCACAAGGCAGTGGAGCATCGTGAGGAGATGCAGTCCCATGGAAGCCGGTGACCAAGAGGTTGGTTCACACGCCATTTGTTCCCTCGAGATACTGGAGCCCACGTGCACCGTTGGTTTGGGGTCCGGTTAAAGCGCCGGATATTCGCTTTTCGTCCTCTCATTTTTGTAAACAACACCCCCGCCACGAGAAGGCAGTGAGTAGGACTTCCCTGGCAGAGGCTATATACGCATGGCCATGTGAGAGCATTTCAAGAGGGAGAGCGGACTCTCCCCACTCTCGGCCGTACCAGGGCATTTGGGGGCAGTGGATACTGTTATGGCTGTATGGCCTTGTTAATATGTTATATAGTACGATCGCCAATTAGAAAACACCAACTTATTAAACGGATCAATGACGCATAAACCTGTATGAGTAGCCTAGAGTTCTTAATGGTCCTCTGAGAAAGTAGCTTTTCTCTTAACCCAGCCGGTTCAGTCCAGAACACCAGTATCAGCCTCCGTTAGACAAAACATATATTTCAGACATACTGGGTTTATATACAAACAAACCAGACCATAAGATAGAAAACAACGATTATACAAGATCAGGCTAAAAGGTGGCTGTGATTACGAGACTGTAACTAATAAATTTTGAATAACTCAGGAATAGTAAATGGTATAACAGTAGCCAATTAGGTTAGACGGGATTTCATAATAAAAGGAATATGAATATACATATACTTAATAGTTATGCAATAAGAATACTCATAATTTAAAGTAATTAATCTTTTTTATAAATTTCGATAGAACAATGAGAAGACGGAGTTGATCTGAAAAATATGACGTATTTGAGCTTTACATTTCGAACAATCTGGTCACACATATACTTGTCAGGGCATTTTTTATGAAAACTAATA